ACACACACACATACACACACACACACAACATAAGTCTTCAGTAATGTTTCTCCTGTGAATGGCATACTTAGGGCTCATAGGATTCCCCCGAACATTTTATTGAATCATTATAACACTCTGGAATATGCATGTCAGGTTATCAGACTGATTTTATTGATGAGTAAACTTGACAACATATCCATTGCCAAGAAAAATTCATCTTGTCACAGGAGTAACTCAACATAAGATTCAGGCAGTGATTAGAATGTAAAGTAAGAAGAAAAGCAAAAGGAATTATAAAAGAATTTCCACTGAATCAATTCTGGTCCATTCTTGCTTGGTGAGAAAGAAGGCTAAAAATTCATAACACAGTGGAAGGTACTAGTTGGCTGAGTCTTATCTGCCACAGATAATTCTCTTACCCCTTTTAAATACTGGTATTCAGGTCTCTAGATCAACTCTATTCTTAATCACTATGTAGTTGGTATTACAATTTAGGATAAACGTGATCAATTCCTAATATTTATTAGTCTTCCACTAGGAGAACTTGATGTTGGACAGTTAAGAGTAGTATCGTGTGAGGGCTGGGGATTTAGCTCAGTGGTTCTTGCCTTGCAAGCACAAGCACCTGAGTTTGATCCCCAGTACCAAAAAAAAAAAAAAAAAAAAAAAAAAAATCAGTGCTATGAGTAAATTTTCTCAGTCAATGTCAATAGAAAATAGAGGGATACATAGCTTTTCTGCAACACACATGGTCCCTGATGCTTTGGTCTGTTCTATTTTATGTAACTTATGGAATAGCCCTCATGTTTCCAGGATCCACTTCTAAAAACAGATGAGGGACAAAGCTTGGGGAGCTAGTTATTACCACCTCCCCAAACCAATGAAGTTAAGCTTTCATGCTGAAGCTATCACCTTCATTGTGGTCTTTTACCCATTTCTCCTTTCCCAGTCCCCAAACTTCAGTTTTACTGCCTAACAAAATATAGTTAATCAGAGTTCAGTCCTTAGATTCAGTCCAAACTAGTAGGTGTTTTGATAAATCTAACATTTATGTAATGGACCAAAAACCTAGAATGCAATCCAGAGCTGCTAATCTTCACCTACCTACCATTTTCCCTCTCTCCTCACCTTCCCACTATCTCTCTGCAGGTAAGAGTTATACAAATAAAAGCAAAATCAAGCTGATGTTTCCCTTGAACATTTCTTTGTTCTAAATATTGTAATACAATTTCTCATTTAGCGACCAGTTCATTTAGTGATCTTATTGCAGGACAGAACTGTAGCTTGGTCATCAAACAAGAATATCCATATTCAGTGAGAATATCACTCATTGATAATGCACAATAAATAGTGCCTTCTACCAGATGCTGGCTTAGTGAGTGTAATGCCACAGTGATTAGATTCTTTGAGCCCTCAAAACCAAACTAGACTGACTGAGCACTAACTCTTCACTGAGTCACAAACTACAGTTTTGATGATTACAGTTAGAAAAATGTCTATCTCCTGAGTTTGTACCTGTCTCTAACACTTGGAGTATCCCTTTATCACTCAGTTACTTGTTTTTTAACTGCATAGGGCTGTACCCTGCATTCCCCTTGTCCTTGATGTTTGTTTTTGCCACCCTAATAACTGATCACTGATGATATAATCAAAAGTTTCAAGGTACCATATTGTTAGTAGAACTCCGAGAGGTTGGGTGGAGGAAAGAATGTTAGACTGAAACAAAACTTACGTTTATAAGAAATTAAGGTAAAACACTGTTGCTTTGAAGTATAACAAAGACCAGTGCAGGTATACTGTTAGGAACACAAGAATTTTTAGCAGCTAATTACCCCTACTGAGTAGTGATTTTATTGGCATCCTTTTGATGCTGACTCGAAGTAAAAGGAAGGGTGCTGTCTGCTCCCTAATAAAGGGCTTGGTCGCTGTTCCAGTAGACTTCAAAAAGAACAATGTATTTTACCATGATAATTAAAAATAATAAAAAGCAGCCAGGCGTGGTGGCACATGCCTGTAATCCCAGCACTCAAGAGTTGAGGCAGGAGGGTTGCAGCTAGTTCAAGGCCCAGCCTGGGCTACATAGTGAGTTCAAGGCCAGCCTAAACTCCATAAAACGACCCTGTCTCCAAAAAAAACCAACAAGGTGGTCTACATTGGGAGATCAGCAAAAGAGATCAGTTAGAGAAGGAAAAAAAAAAAATTTAGTAGAAGCTCAGCTGCTCATAAGAGTAAGGCTCATGGCCTGAATCTTAGTTGTCTTTCTCTGTACTGTGTTCCTAGTGTCATGTAACAGGTACCCAGTTAATACTGTTAAGCAGTTGAGAAGGTAAGTGGAAGATGATGAAGATGAACAAGACAAAGGGTTTCAGGAGGAGAATTTTTCTTTAAATGACTATGTAAATAGATAAACATGAGATTTGGGAAGGATCCATTCATTTCTCTTTCTCCGAGTTCTATAGTGTATGGCATTGGAGAGATGAAGTCTTTCTGAAGCATAGTGCCTTGATCTTAATATCAAAAGGGTCTGAAACAAATGCTACCAAATACTGCATTAATAGTTATCTGGGAAATAACTGAACATTTGAGATGCCTGATTATTTGAGGGACCGAATTAAAAAGACAAAATATTCCTGTTATTTGATAAAGCAATATAAATGAAAGAATTGTTTTGAAATCAAGTTTCTGTATGTATAACTTTCTTCTGTTCATCTTTTTAGGTGGCATCCTTAGCTGGGCCAGGGGGTCAAGTGGAAATAGAACAGAACTTTCTTAACAATAAATTGAAGACAATCACGGCTTATTTTGGTGACCTGATCCGAAAAGCAGCCTCTGAAACCTAACTGAAACAACACAAAGACAAACAGATCATGTAGTAATCAGAACATTGTTCACATGAGATGCTAGGAATGTCTTTCTGTGTTCACTGATACTTTGTACACACTCTTCTAACATCACATGATATGAAAACTTACATGAGTTTAATGAATATTAATGAAATGCTTTCAGATTTTTGGATTATATTAATGAAGTACTGTGTATTGTACATTAGGATAGTAAGTGTGTGATACGGACAGAGGACAAGAGTTGCTCCTCTGCTTAATTTCAGCATATGTCAGTATGTGTATATTTTTATATTTTTTGTGTTTTTATCTTTATGAATATATACATTTATGTGTTTATATAAGAATAATGTTTTAATAGAGAAAAATACAAGGAAATCTATGAATGAGTAATGGTTTATCCACCCATTTAACCTCTACTGAAATAACATTATACATTTAACGCTGAAAATGTATAATTTAATTTAGAATGGTGCAAAAAGAAAAATAAGTTTAACACCCCTTCTCTACCCCTTATTCATCTACCTAAAGATAATCACAACTGTGTTAGGAAACAAAGGAATTGTAGTACACCCTAATATACTGTTTTTCCTCATTAATTCATCATTTAATACTTATCCACCTGTTTTATTTAATATAATTTTTTAAACAGTGTTTCTTGAAGACCTTTCCATATCAGTACATATACATAGAGACCTACCTCGTTCTTTTCAATGGATTTTTGTATTCTGCTTACTCGATATACCATGATTAAGTCAGTTGCCTATCTGGTAGTCAGATTTTTGCATTTGTTAACTATTTGCACTCTATTTAGGAATATATTGTTGAATACATATCCATTAAATAATCTAGCAGTTTATATTGCTAGGGGCTTGTTTTCATTTTGTTGTAGTTTGGTTTAGTTTTTGAGGCCTCACTGTGTCACTTATATTGGCCTCAAACTTGTGATCCACTTCCAGAGTGCTGGCATTGCAAGCATGCACTGTCACATCCAAAAGTCTGTACATTTTAACTCTCATAGGCAAAGTCAGATTGTCTCAGCAAAATTGGACTCACTTTTAGCCTTTTAGAGAGCTTTCACGTTTTCATGTCTTTGCATCATCTGGATTTGCTTTTAAACATCCTTTTATAAAATTAGTGTTTTTGAGATTTCCATTACAATTTCAATGTGAAATATGGTTTGTAATATAGAAGTTTATGTTTTTTTTCTATTAAAGTGGCAATGAAAAGAGGAGGCATATGTGTTGCTTAATTATTCACCTAAAGTGTGTTCTGTCATTTTTACAAGTAAGAGTGACACACAGTTCTTTGCCTTTAGGGTTAGATACAGAACTTTTACCTTTTAATAATGTGAGCATGTGAAATATTAAAACTATTTTCATTGAAATAAAGCTAGGGAAGAGGATACAGCTCAGTGTTAGAGTTTTGTGCTTAATGTGCAAGGGGCACCTCAGTTCATTCCCAGCACCAAATGATAATAATATGAGCAAAGCCAACCTTTGAGTACGCTAGCATTTGTCCTTTAAAATTTTACAATATGTGCCTGACTGCCCTGAAATCAACTAAGCTGTCATAAAGGGAGAAATTACTTTAAAAAATTTTTAATGTCAAAATCTGATCAAATGTTCTTGAATTCTATACTTTTTTAATGTAACATTAATGTTTATATCATAAACTTGTTAATTCTTTTAATAACATCAGCATTGGTCATCACCAATTCTGTATATAGCCCCTAGAACTAGACAACTTGACAAACAGCATAAAAGAAATATTTTCAGGGGTTTTTTGTCACAAATTTTAAATGTACAGTTCTTTATACAGTATGTATTTTTAGGTGTATATTATTAAAACTAACTTATGAGCTGGATGTGGTGGTACAAGTCTATAATCCCAGCTACTTGAAAGACTAAGACAGGATCAAAAATAGGAAGAAAAGGGCTAAAGGTGTAGGGAAAGTGGGAAGGGAGTGTATGGCATTGGAGAGATGAAGTCTTTCTGAAGCATAGTGCCTTGATCTTAATATCAAAAGGGTCTGAAACAAATGCTACCAAATACTGCATTAATAGTTATCTGGGAAATAACTGAACATTTGAGATGCCTGATTATTTGAGGGACCGAATTAAAAAGACAAAATATTCCTGTTATTTGATAAAGCAATATAAATGAAAGAATTGTTTTGAAATCAAGTTTCTGTATGTATAACTTTCTTCTGTTCATCTTTTTAGGTGGCATCCTTAGCTGGGCCAGGGGGTCAAGTGGAAATAGAACAGAACTTTCTTAACAATAAATTGAAGACAATCACGGCTTATTTTGGTGACCTGATCCGAAAAGCAGCCTCTGAAACCTAACTGAAACAACACAAAGACAAACAGATCATGTAGTAATCAGAACATTGTTCACATGAGATGCTAGGAATGTCTTTCTGTGTTCACTGATACTTTGTACACACTCTTCTAACATCACATGATATGAAAACTTACATGAGTTTAATGAATATTAATGAAATGCTTTCAGATTTTTGGATTATATTAATGAAGTACTGTGTATTGTACATTAGGATAGTAAGTATGTGATACGGACAGAGGACAAGAGTTGCTCCTCTGCTTAATTTCAGCATATGTCAGTATGTGTATATTTTTATATTTTTTGTGTTTTTATCTTTATGAATATATACATTTATGTGTTTATATAAGAATAATGTTTTAATAGAGAAAAATACAAGGAAATCTATGAATGAGTAATGGTTTATCCACCCATTTAACCTCTACTGAAATAACATTATACATTTAATGCTGAAAATGTATAATTTAATTTAGAATGGTGCAAAAAGAAAAATAAGTTTAACACCCCTTCTCTACCCCTTATTCATCTACCTAAAGATAATCACAACTGTGTTAGGAAACAAAGGAATTGTAGTACACCCTAATATACTGTTTTTCCTCATTAATTCATCATTTAATACTTATCCACCTGTTTTATTTAATATAATTTTTTAAACAGTGTTTCTTGAAGACCTTTCCATATCAGTACATATACATAGAGACCTACCTCGTTCTTTTCAATGGATTTTTGTATTCTGCTTACTCGATATACCATGATTAAGTCAGTTGCCTATCTGGTAGTCAGATTTTTGCATTTGTTAACTATTTGCACTCTATTTAGGAATATATTGTTGAATACATATCCATTAAATAATCTAGCAGTTTATATTGCTAGGGGCTTGTTTTCATTTTGTTGTAGTTTGGTTTAGTTTTTGAGGTCTCACTGTGTCACTTATATTGGCCTCAAACTTGTGATCCACTTCCAGAGTGCTGGCATTGCAAGCATGCACTGTCACATCCAAAAGTCTGTACATTTTAACTCTCATAGGCAAAGTCAGATTGTCTCAGCAAAATTGGACTCACTTTTAGCCTTTTAGAGAGCTTTCACGTTTTCATGTCTTTGCATCATCTGGATTTGCTTTTAAACATCCTTTTATAAAATTAGTGTTTTTGAGATTTCCATTACAATTTCAATGTGAAATATGGTTTGTAATATAGAAGTTTATGTTTTTTTTCTATTAAAGTGGCAATGAAAAGAGGAGGCATATGTGTTGCTTAATTATTCACCTAAAGTGTGTTCTGTCATTTTTACAAGTAAGAGTGACACACAGTTCTTTGCCTTTAGGGTTAGATACAGAACTTTTACCTTTTAATAATGTGAGCATGTGAAATATTAAAACTATTTTCATTGAAATAAAGCTAGGGAAGAGGATACAGCTCAGTGTTAGAGTTTTGTGCTTAATGTGCAAGGGGCACCTCAGTTCATTCCCAGCACCAAATGATAATAATATGAGCAAAGCCAACTTTTGAGTACGCTAGCATTTGTCCTTTAAAATTTTACAATATGTGCCTGACTGCCCTGAAATCAACTAAGCTGTCATAAAGGGAGAAATTACTTTAAAAAATTTTTAATGTCAAAATCTGATCAAATGTTCTTGAATTCTATACTTTTTTAATGTAACATTAATGTTTATATCATAAACTTGTTAATTCTTTTAATAACATCAGCATTGGTCATCACCAATTCTGTATATAGCCCCTAGAACTAGACAACTTGACAAACAGCATAAAAGAAATATTTTCAGGGGTTTTTTGTCACAAATTTTAAATGTACAGTTCTTTATACAGTATGTATTTTTAGGTGTATATTATTAAAACTAACTTATGAGCTGGATGTGGTGGTACAAGTCTATAATCCCAGCTACTTGAAAGACTAAGACAGGATCAAAAATAGGAAGAAAAGGGCTAAAGGTGTAGGGAAAGTGGGAAGGGTAGGGGAAAGGGAATAAGGGAAAAGAAAAACATGACAAAATGAAAAAATGGAAACATAGTGTTTGTAAATGGGGAGGGGAAGAGTGGGTGAAGGTAAGGCAGGGACAAGGGGGAAAAAATGAGAACCAAGACCTGTCATGTAGAGCTACAAGATCCCAGTGATAAATGTAACTGTATTGTATACCTAAAATGTACCAATAAACTCAATAAAAGAAAAAAAAATTCTGCATTTAGCTCAGTGGTGCCGCCACCTGCTTCGCAAGCGCAAGGGTCTGAGTTTGATCCCCGGTACCAGAAAAAGAAAAAAAGAAAAATTCAGCACCAGCCTGAGCAACTTAGTAAGACCTTGTCTCAGGAATGTTTTTGGTCCAGTGATTTAGCTCAGTGGTTCCACTGCCTGCCTTGCAAGTGCAAGGTCCCAAGTTTGATCCCTGGTACCAAAAAAAAAGTTTTTAAACAGAGCTGGGGGTATAGCTCAATGGTGAAATGCCCCTTGTTTTAATCCCCCAGCCCAAAAAAGTAGTAGGCAAGAAGCTAATTTGTGAGACATTTTAGTTTGCAAAGAAAGGTTAGACACATTTCTTTGTAGCTTATATTAAAATTAAGATACTACCTTTCCTACGATTTTTGTTCTTATTTAATGTAGTAAGGCCCAAATTATATTTTCAAATTATTCACACATACCCACATTTCTGTCATTAAACTCTACTGTGTCATTATGTATTGTAGTCAGCTTTCTGTTACCGTGAAAAAATACCTAAACAACTGGAGGACAAGTTTATTGTTGCTCGCAGGTTCAAGTTTCATAGCTAGTTGGCCGCATTGTTTGTGGGCCCGAAGTAAGGCAGAACAACACAGTGCAAAGGATGTGATAGAACAGAGCTGCTTACTTCATGGCAGCCAGAAGGTAGAGAAAAAGGAGCAAGAGGACAAAAAATACACTTCAAAGTCACACTCCCAGTGACCTACTTTCTCAAGGTGCGCTTAATCATCCATCCAGACACTAACCTCGTGGTCTAGTCTACTCTCTAGGCCCTGCTTACACATAGTGCTTCACTGAGAAACACACGAGTTTTTGGAGAAACTTCATATTTAAACCGTAACATTTTAATTCATTATTGGATTTGACTTAGCAAATTTACTTCTGTTTGTGTTTTTATTTGTACACCTCAGAGT